CTATACATTCCGAAGTAATTGTTAGAGCAATCATGAAGAACGTCGTATTTCACAAATAAAATTTTGCAAAAGGTGAAATTAACGAGAAAATATAGATTTCCACTTCTAAAATGCGAGGGTAGGGTGAAAAGTTTCCGGCCTGATAAAAAAAACAACTTTTTTCGTTTCTTTTTCGTTTTATTTTTCAACAAAATCTCTATCAAGATTTATACATTTTTCATAACGGTACTCTAATGCAGTGATACCATTTTTATAGTCCGATATGTCAAGTCCCTCAAAATACTCATTTACAGCATCGACGATTTCCTTGTTGGTCTCAAATTTTTTACCTCCGAGCCATTTTTTAAGGTTAGGAAACAAATGATAGTCTTTGGGGGCTAAATCTGGTGAATATGCTGGTTGGGGGAACAATTTGAACTTTAATTCCTTGATTTTAGCCATCGCAACGACCGACGAATGGGTAGGTGCATTGTCATGGTAAAACAAGATTTTTTTTTTCGCCAAGTGAGGTCGTTTATTTTTCATTTCGTCCTTCAAACGCTGCAATAACTCTGCGTAGTATTGACCAGTGATGGTTTTACTCTTCTCCAGGTAATCAATGAAAATAATTCCTTTCGCGTTCCAAAAAACAGTCACCATAACCTTATTCGCCGATAAAATTGTTTTTACCTTCTTTGGGGTTGGTTCACCTGGTCCAATCCATTGTTTCGACTGTTGTTTAGTTTCAGGAGTATAGTGGTGAATCCAAGTTTCATACACATAAATCGACGCAAAAATTCGCTGGGGTTTCGCTTGTACAGCGCCAAATTTTCGATTGAAACAGTTTTCCGGGTGAATTTTTGATCGAACGTTAGCAAACGCGGCACCCACCTAGCACAGAGCTTCTTTATGCTCAAATGTTCATGTAAAATATTGCGCACACGTTTAGTTGACATCCTAGTAGCCTCAGCTATCTCACTTACTTTTAATCTGCGGTCCTCCATTACTATTTTATGAATTTTTTCAATCATTTCGGGAGTTGTGACCTCAACGGGGCGTCCTGAACGTGGATCGTCAGAAGTTCTCCTGTAACCTTTCTTAAATTCAGAAACCCACTGTTTAACCGTTAAATATGATGGAGAAGAGTCTTTCAGTGTGGAATCCAGCTCTTCTTTAATTTGTAATGGTGTTAGGCCTTTTAAATAGAAGTATTTGATGACCGCACGCTTCTCTGATTTTTCCATTTTCACGTAAGCAATCGAGGCGTCTTATTCAATCGGCTCTCAAATGTATACAAACAGAGCAATCTACCTGAAAATTTATATACAATCTATTAAGATATAGTACTATATAATACAAGCCAAAAATTAGACCTGCTGGCGCCATCTCTATTTCAGGCCGGAAACTTTTCACCCCACCCTCGTAGTATTTGCTTCTTAATACTTTACAACTTTTGCCCTCCCTTGCGCAACCACTAATAAATTCGACATGCTATAACTTTGCCTCAAATGAGCAAGACGGAAAATTTTCAGCGTCAATGCTTTTTGTTATATTATGTAAAATTAATTTGAATCTTTCTTAAACTTCAAACATGTTTCGTACATTTTTTTTTTCAAAATCTTTTATGAGGCGTTGCAAAATAAAATTTGTGACTTCGTATTAAATGAAAATATGCTTAATGATTTTTCCGCGGAGCATGTATACAAAATTTATGATCTGGAGACTAGAAAAAATTTCAGCTTAACCGTTTATTGAAATTTGTCGGAGAAAGTGCGCTACTTGAAATATTACTTAGGCTTCGACTCGCTCACGGAGCCGATACATAAAAGATTTAGGATCTGCAGATTAAAAAATCTCATGCATAATTGTTTGCTGAAACCTTGCGAAGTACGCGCAGTAGTAGAAAACTTCTTCTGTCAACGCGTGCGTTTCTCCATTCTAATGTGCGTTATCTGAAAATATGCACGAAGATCTATTCAGCCGTGGAGTCGATACATAAAAATTTTTACGAAGTAGGAATTAAAGAATTGTTTTCGTAGTCACTTACCAGATAATGTGTACGTATGCAAGCCACTTCCTTTTCACATTATTGCTGACACACGGTTGACTATACAAAATTCAAAACGTGCTCTGCGAACGCCCAATCACAACCATACACTATTTTTATCACGCGGTTGATTGGCCAAATTTCGAAATCCCTGCCGCATAGAGTCAATCACAATGATGCGCCATAGCTGATACCTTGCCAAACAATAAATATTCCACTCTTTTCTACTTACATTAAATTTTCTTTCCAGAACGACCAGTATAATTTATCACAAATTGCATTTTACCCTTGAAATAAAATTGAATTAAATTTCTAAAAGACTACGTTTTTATCGCTATTCCCAGTTTCATTTTCCTAAATCATTCGCAAACATTCGAGAGCATTCTTTCTGTAACTGTTGTTTGATGAAACTTATCGATACATTTGCGTTACCCAAAAATATGCTCAGGTCCCTATATTCCTATAGGTCCGGTGTACACATAATTTTTACGAAGTCGGGATTAAAGAGTCGTTATCTTATTAACTTATCTGGCAACGCTTACGTTTTTCTTGCATACCTTTTGTTTCATTACTGACACATGGTTGACTGGCCAAAATTCGAAACGTGTACAACGAACGGCTATTCATTACGATGTGCCAGGGCAGAACCCATGTTAACAATAAATATTCTACTCTCTGTTCTTTACATTTAATTATCGTTCCACAAAGATCATAAGCAAAATATAACAAAACACCATATAACAAGACACATTTCACCATTTAAGCGATTCTTCTGCACCGCCACCTGCATAGAAGCACAAAACCTACATCCAACTGTTGCGACGCAGAAATCATCTTTCAATGGTTTTGAAAATGTTGTGAAATGTATAAATGTTTGGCACGAGCAATTAATTTCGCTTTGAAAACTTGTCAACGAATGCGCTTGACTTCAGATCACGGAAATAGTATTAAATCTGCCCAAGAGTACTAACGATGAGAACGTTGTGAAACAAACGCTTCCCAATAATCATCAGGAATTGCGCAATATGTGCGTCGACAAATAAAAATTTAGAATTTTTGGACAACTACTTTGAAATTGTATTTCATAAAATAGTTTATATTTATTTTAACGAAATTGTTAGAACCATTATTATAAATGCTACAACATGACTTTTTAAATAAAATTATAATCCCCTGACATTTAAACGGCCTCTACTTCTATTTACTTCAATATTTCTCTTATGCAAGAACTACCAAATTCAAAAAACTCTAACTTTTTCTCTTGTGCCGTGATTTCCTTTTATTACAAACTTGAAAGAAAAATGCGAAATTTACATATGAGCTATGTAATTCAAATGTAATTCATACATTTGAGAACATTGGCGCACATTCGAGAACATTTTTTCCGACATTACCGCTTGGCGAAACTTGACGGAACATGAGTGTTACCAGAAAATATGCTCAAGTCTGTTTTCGTCATAGCGTCGATGTATAATTAAATTTTTAGGATAAAAACAAAAGAAATCTTGTCGTAGTTTTTTACCTGACTGTTCGTCTATATTTTCCCTACATATTCCCTCCCTTTTGCCCCACAGCCGACGCGCTGATGAACGGCCGATCAAATCATGCACTATACTTGATCATCGGATTGCAAGCCAAAATTCAAAACTCCCGCCGCGGACGGCCAATCACAACGATTCAGCATAGCAGATACTGTGATAAAAAATAAATCCCGCCCTTTCTTCCACCAAGTTTTCTGTCCACCGCATCAACCCCTCTCTTTCGCATCTGCTCCTTGCCCTCGTCATTGTCTCGTCAGTCCGCACCTTACCAGCGACAAGACATGACGGTGGAGTCTCATGTCACATATTTTTCTTGTTAAAATAAGAACTCAGTAAATACAGAATGAAACTTTGACCACTCTTCTCTACGTATATACTATCCTGCATATATGGCGTCGGATATGGGCATACGGGACAGTTTCCAACGCTATTCTTCACATGCTTCCCTTCTAGAAAATCTAGAAGTTGTTAAAAAGAAGTCAGGTATACGCGGCAATAAAAAATTCTCGGGACTTAGTACCCATCACCCTATCTCCCTACCATAGTTGCGCCAGACTATTCCCACCACCTCTCCCCAAAATTAGGCCACGTCCCTGGCGTCAGAAATGTAAGTGGTGTGGGAACGTTTATACCTACCATGGCTGTACCAATACTACCCTTCTTCACCCAATCCTCCAATCGTAACCTGCGAGTTTCGAAGGAAAATCTGCTTTCCCAGTTGCTCTTGTCTTTCGACTCCTCGCATGTGTCGTTATTATCAATTTCTTGAGACGAGCATAAATGTTATTCTCCTCGTCGTCGATGTTTTGGTTTTGAGCGATAAACCAGTGCTTCAATTTTTGCGCGCTGCTTAAGGGGTTAAGCCAGTCTAGAGTCCTCAAAAAAGGCCTAACTTTGACAATTTATTCTGGGAGTAAGCAAAAAGGAATCGAATTTCTCTCTTTCAGGCTTTATTAAACATGTATTTGAGTGTATAAAAAATTTTTATATTGACATTTTGATACAAAATGGCGGCTACTGGGCCAATTTTCGGAATCACCTTTTTCAAGAGGGCCTCTACGGGCGACGGTGATTCTAGGAACTCGTGCTATCTGAAACAAAATAAAGAACGGGATTTAATCTACATAAGACTTGTTAGTAAAGTACGTATGTTTTTAGCTTTACATCAATTTTTCGCAAAATGGCGGATTTGTAAAAAAAAGGTTCAATTTTTGACCGAAAAAATGAGCAGTAAATTGTTTATAAAAAAAAAGTTGCAATGATAACAAAAAAATCGTACGTAGTTTACTAGATAATGTTACTGTGAAGCTACAGTTAAAATTTCAAGTGGATACGTGCTATAGTCTCCGAGTACCATCGTCGCCCGATTTGAAAAATGCAGTTTCGAGAAAAACGCGTTTAAAGTTTTACGTGCTGAAAATTTTGTTATACTTTCAGTCTGCGATGCCTGCGCCGTATATGTCACCTTCCATAGACACGTGGAACTCATTTTCTTCCTTTCTGGATGCCTTCTTTTCGATTCGAGACCTTCTTGCAGCATCTGAGAGCGAACGATCGGATAATTTGATGCGGTTTTTATCAGTCTCTTGACAGTAATTGTAGCAGTTCGGCCCAATTTTGATGCCTATGTTCTGCATGACTCTCATGGCACTTGTGAGGCCATCATTATAAGTACCTGCAGCAATATATATAGCTGTGTCAAGTACATTTTTGCCACTGGATGTCACTTTCGGGGCCATCGACCATACTGTAGCGTTGAAACTCTCATTACTGTTTTGAGTGAAGCCGCCTATGCAACGAATGAATAGGTCATCACTGGTTAATTTTTCATAAATTGGAGTTATAGCCTTGTATACTTCTTCATGTAAAGAAGGTTTATGTGTATATTCGTCCAAAGTTCCAGTGGCCTTGGCCCTTTGCCACGAGCACCACGAATTTTCTCCGCTCGGGCAGTGATCGTGCTTGGGCTTGGCATCTGTTGATAATTTACTCATATTGTTAACAATGATAGTTTATCAATAAAAACCACTGTAGTCAATAAAGTAATTCGTTGAAGCAGAAAAACTAACGAAAACAAAAAGAAGCGTCCACGCGTGGCGTCGTTTTTCAGCTGACTGACCCACACACAAGCCCACACATACAGCTGTATTGATGAACTAGCACTTTCTAACGACCTTTTGGGGAACCATTAGAGCCCTCAGGCCCCGTTGGTACATTAGTGCAGAGGGTAAGAGTCGTAAAAAGGGGACAAAAGGAAGCCCGCCGCGGCAGGTAGAAAATGCGCTCGTCGCCCGCTCCGAACGCTTCGACACTACAGCGGATTGGACAGGGAAAAAATTTTTTTTCACTATTCTACCAATTGACTAATGTTTTTAGGACCCTAAAGTGTACTTTAAGCAAAAAAAAAAATTTCGATTTTTTAAAAATCCTAGACTGGCCTAACCCCTTAACGCGCACTAAAAATGTCTGCGCCTGCTGTAAGCGTAATATATGCAATACACTGCGTTTTCAAGGGATGGAAAATGTTTGAACGTAGGAGACATTCCTTCCAGATAATATATGTTTTGCGCTAATATACTTTGCAAGTAGCAGGCTTTTTCGGTGTCTCTAGTATAGACAGCTGTTACGTGCTTCGTAACTTCACGCAAATGGTTGGGAAAATATTTCGGTTTCCTCGTCGTACCACTCGAATCCATGATAATACCATGAAGATCAATTATTCAACCGTCTTGATTTTTTATTCAGCTCTTCAAACGGATATGCCAGTAGCAAAATCCAGTGTTTGATTTGTGTGCCATTAAGCGTTATAACAGCTATTTCCTTAGCTACAAAGCGATTCCCGCTATCCCGGAAACCATATACTTCGACGATCACCCCAATATCGACAGTAGTGGCTGTTTCCTTCTGACCAAATTGCAACGTTCACGTTTTGAAGTAGACTGAATTCCTTTTTTTACATACACATATATTTTCTCGGTGATTTTGTACAGAGAGTCGATGTCATTGATATGAACGGAAGGGAACATTTTTTTTGTAACCGAAATAATCGACAATGACTTGACGGATGAAATCGATTTCTAGTACATTGTCGAATTCTGCGTAAACGACACAGTTGATCGTCTTATCAAGGAGTTTTTCAAATCTTACTTCCAATCGTAAACATCCGTGTCTCACAAAATTTCAATTCATATCGCAATTTGTCTATAAATCGACCTCGAAATGAAATCGAAGCGAAAAGAGTAAAAGCACAGGGATATATTTCTTTGCTACATTCGTTTTGCCCGTCGCTATTCGCCTTGGTCACGGCAGGTACGTCTTTTACGGTACGGTAAGAGAGGACCGGTCGGTACGAGGGGTCAGCTCGTCGAAACGGCGGTCGTGGCCCTTGAATGGCTTGTCGGATTGCTAGGTTCGTTTGTAATAAATATGAAAGAGTTTTGGTTGAACAATAAACAAAAGATTTATTCTCGGTTGACTACAGCAGACTCATGGACGAGCGGATGTCGGCTTGATGCTTTAAATGGTTTTTCTTGTAAGACACTGGATGCGTCGGAACGTGTTATTGATGTCAATAGTCGCGTGCGTGTTTTGTCATCTCAGCTGACTTTCGAGATTGGCGAGAGACGGTTACGCGGGACGGCGGACGCGGTTATGTATACGCGGCGATGTATATACGTCTGATGTAACGAGTAACGGTCGGTAGAGTCGCGGGGAGCGGGCGTGGTGTTTCGATCGTACGATTTGTTGTCGCTGTTTGACAGCGCCACGCAGGTCTCGGTGATGTTTCTTCGCGATGTCGATTTAAATGCACCGGAGAGTGCAATACGGAAGCCACGTGCAGGTGACACGGAAAACGGCGACACTCTCCGAGCCTCGGAGGCCCCGCGGAATCGGGAACGGTCGGTACGGCAACCACGAGGTACCCGCGGTATCGAATTGCGCTCCTGTGTTGGCCAATGTTCTCCGCCAAGACCACGGGACCGGGAGATCGCGAGAGAAACGTGGCGCGATGGGCGGCTATCGGAAAAACCTCGCCAAAATCCCGGAAGCGAAGAGAGATAGGGCCGAAAAGACTCGGCGGAGACGGCGAACGACGCCACCCCCTTACCCGTTATCTCCTTCGTCGAAGTTTGCTCCCGCGTGAGCTTATTAACTATCTTTCGCTCGTTCAGTTGCTCGCGTGCAACCCGGCGCGGTGAACGCGAGGGACCCGGTATCCCTTATGGTCGGCGGTGACTTGGCCGAGAATACTCGGCTGAGACGGCGCAGTCGCCACCCCGGTCTTGTCTGCACCGGATGTCGATCGGTCGGAGGTCGGATAGGAACCGGGAATTCTCGGTGGAGACGGCAATACACCGTCCCGAGGAAAGATGGTGAGTACGGCTGCGGACGCGCAGCTGAAACGGCGAATACACTGTCTCGGTTCCTCGGCAGAAGGATCGGGATACGGAGCAGCTTGCTAACGTATCGCTCTGACTGACTCCGGCGGAATTGGCCTCGATGCCTCCGCCAGTCGGATTTTATATCCGATAGCGGGCCAGTGTTTATGTTTGTTGATACACACGTGATCGTGCTTCTGGCGAAAGCGCGTCACGTGCGTGTCGTGTGGCTTAGTGTGACGCAAAGCGCCAGTGAGCGACCCGACGGATGGTCGGTCGGGTCGGGGGGGGGAGGCAACGGTGCAAACGCGCCGTTACATCTTGTGTCATTGAATTAATCGTTCAAAAAGTAGATTCCCAAGAAAAGAGTGTGCTAAGCGTCGACATAGAGCATTTATGCGATAAAGAAGTTATTTTGTATCAGTCTGCTGGAGATTTGAATACCGTCGACATACAACGAGAAATAATTTACTTCTTAATTTGTTAAATTAAACGAATTTAATTTTCCATCGCCGTTAAATGTTTAATTATCGACAAAACCAGTGATTATGCGCTTAGGCAACTGTCTAAATATGTCTAAATATTATCCAACGATTCGCCCACGATATCGCTGTGAATTGTGAATGTCTTAACCTTGACACTCGTGAGAGGGTATTTAGTCGTAGTCTTGGTTAACATTTTCGCATGTGCCTGTAATATTCCAAGATTTACTCTAATTTTTCTGGCGAGAAACGTCGTATGTCGAATATGAATTTTCGACGTAGTATTTGCCTCCTTTAAACAGAAGGAATCTTTCGAACAAACAAGTTTCATTTGCACTTCGACACTGTTAATAAAAAATTTATCTTGATTAAATACGTCACAATAAAAATGGCCGATGATGTCTTATATACATCCTCCTTGTACAAAAGCATTTCACCAGTTTAGAGCATGGTTGGGAGGCTGCGCTCCGGATAGTGCGCCTATATACCCGGCTGTATTTGCGTACCATAAGCATGAGATGGTTTCTGTCGGTAAAGTATAATTAAATACGCTTCTATGTACACGCGGTACGCGTAAGCGTTACTTGGCGGAGAAATGAGTTTTTAATGAAATATACGTCGAACTGATTGAACATTGAATGTAGCAGATAATTCACCGGATTTATTTGCAGGGCGGTTGTGGCAATGATGCCTGCCATTGTTTTTTTACTCGTACGCAAAGCGACAACAAGGTGTAAGTCTATATATTCTTCCTCGTGATACGGTATGACGAATTCAATGGGAATGTCGTCTGAGAGAAAGGGCAGGAACTTGAAATAGATCCATTGCGAGCTTTCGATATTAGTCTACCATTTTTAGACGGTAGAGAGATGAGATCAAGCCCACGTTTTAAACATCTGCTAGAATGAGTGAGAAGAAATGATATGCCACGAAACGAATGTTCGATGATTAAGAGCAAATGTCCGACACAGTATGCTTTATAGTAACTCCGCGACATTTGACGACTCCATTCTTGTGTTTTTTCACTGTTTGCTCCTTTTTAGACGTTTTCTTATTCGATTTCTTCGCGCTACTCCGACATACTTTATTTTTCCGATTTAAAAACATTCTTACCGACTCGACGTTTGCGCGCAGTTGCTTTGACGATGTAACCATTGAGACTTCCGAGAGGAAATTGAGCTTTCTTGAGTTTTGCAGTGGACTTATATCCGAAACCTTCTATAAGTTTGCTTATTTTTCTTTGGCCTCTCTCTTGAGATTCGCTCCTGCTTTCTTAATACGAGATTTGACAGCTTCTTTCAACAGCGTGTTAACTTCTACGTTCTCGATTATATTAATTCCCTCGCGTAGAACCTCATTGCCAACCGTGCGTGCACCGCGAAAAACATAAAGACATAAAGACATAAAAGACATAAAGAAAAACACAAAAACATAAATCTGAAAAGTCCGCCGAGGGAACTACCAATACCGTAACCACGTTGATACTACGATCTTACGAAAACTCGAGGAATTCCCCACCGCGATCATCACTTGTCTGTGATTTGTAACACTTTTGATAATGCGACATATTGCGTAATACGTGCGAAAATTTCTCTTTAATCGCAAAGTCTAAAATGCGACGTCACTATTAACGTTCCAAATTCGAATGGTATTTTCTTTCCTTATAATCTCTTTCTATCTATTTCTATCGTGCGGAAAGATGTCTGACGTAACAAGATATAATTCAGGGGCAAAAATGCTTTATAACATTGCAACCGAAGGCGTATTTACAGTCAAAGTATTCTATTGGAACCACACGTAGAAGAGGGATACATCACCCGTTGCGTAAGACTCGCAAATGTCGCAATAAACAAAAAGTTTATCAGGTGCTTCGCATACTATGTTAGGTAGTTCATCGAAATTTACTTCTCGCGTTGTAAAGGAAATTTTGTAAAATGATTCGGAATTGACTTCGCGCTCAGTATAGGATCGGAATTAGAATAATGTAATACGATTTCTGCATTCGCCATGTGAGGGTGTATGAGTTTTTCGCATTTTATGTGCATATTGAAGCCCAGTATACGTGCAAGTTTGTTAGAAAATTTTACACAATGCTGCAGAGCGCATTCTCCTTTCCTACATGCGAGATTCATG